GAGAACTACAGCTAAACTTTAAATTGTGATTACTTACCGCCAATACGCCAGATATGAAAATGAAAGTTTAATCCATTGCAGTTTTTAACAGTGAAAAATGTCCTGATAAACACTGTGTTGCAGAGCAATGTTAAAAGATTACTGAAACTTTAATGATACCTTAATGTACAAAAGATTCAATCCAAAAGTAAATTTAAATTAGAAAGTAAAACTCAGGGTGTTTATGTTAGCTACTGGCAGAATTACTTCAAATAAAATGGAAGAAAAAACAATTTTTAGTTCTAATATTGCTTCCAAAAATATCTCAATCTGAAAATAGTAAATTATAAAATGCCTTTAATAAAAATTAGAATTTCTTCATGTTTCTTGCTACAGAGAAAGTGTAAAAAATGGAATACTTTAGTAAGGGTATGATAGGCATACTAAATGTTATAATATTTGAACAATGGCAGATATTAGCCCTCAATTATGTACTTTTGAGACTTTAAAATTTACTTTTGTGCTGTTTTGGTAAGAGTGTTATAGCATGTTTTGTCAAGTTTGTATTTTATATTTTTACCTTGCCCGTACCATCAAAGATGGAAAAGAAAGGTACATTAAGAGAAAAAATTTTGTCTGGCGTTGTCGTCGTCCTTGTTGCTGTTGTTGTTGTTGTTGTCATCGCTAATGATTATTATTGTCTGCACAATAACTTTACTAATTCTATTCCAAACTTCATCAAACTTGGTCACCTTATTCATCAGTATGAGTTTGAACAACAGATGTCCTGTATGAAAATATCATGCAAAAATTGAGAAAATCTGATAAAATATTTTGACTGTTTATACTTGACTGATCACTGGTGATACCATCAAAGGTCACTGATCTCAGTGGAAATATGCATTGTTGTATGTGTTCAATGAAGCAAATCATTTATCTTGTAATAATATCCTTGGTAATGTACTGGTATCTCCCAAATCCCATGGGAATACTATTACTGGGTTTCAAAACCAACTCATGGAGCATATTTTGCACAGTCTGATACACTTTTGCAAACCTACCAATAAAACAAGATGTCAGAAAATCAATATAAGCACATATGAACTGGATGCTAAACTTTGATCAAGATCTGAAGCTAATAGAAAATCTGTTTAGTTCAAAGTTTTCAAATCAAAAACAATACATAAAAAATACATAAAAAGCAAAACGTTGCATCCACATTTTGAAAAGAAAATTGTACTAAAATATATGTATTCTGTATTTGACAAACAGAGCAATGACAGAGCTTTTATAATACCAATTTAAAAAGCATTTCAAAAACAAAGATTGCAGTGTTTGAAGATGTAGATTCTCAGGAGGCAACAGCACTGTTGACTTCTCTCTCCACTGGACACCAACTAACTATTTAAGTTGATTTGCATACAAAGCAGAGCTTGCAACATGATAGCTATTCATAGAGGGTGTTTTTTTTTTTACTTTTCATATAATACAGTAGTCACACAATGAATATAATAAGGCAGTTCATATTTGTCTCAGTGAATCATTAATTTTTGACATACACCTGTACAAAATACTTGGACAAAACCCAGCTAAGATTTTCTGTTATCTAAATGCAGCACTTTTTTTCTACGATGAGGCATTTGTTTTTATACTAAAATACCTGAATTACTTTGAATAAAGCTGGAAATTATGTCCCCTAAAATAATTAAACAAATTAGGCACCAATGTTTTTGTAAGATATTTACATTTATCAAGGACATTTGGTAGACTGATTCCCTACTGTTTGTTCAACTAATTCATCACTATCAAGCATTTCTGCCTTTCCAGAACTAGATCTCATTCAGGCCTGGAAACAAACTTAGTGTGTCCATTAAAATATTGGTGCACGTCTTTTTTCCAGATTGAATTTAAAATGGCTGACTGGCAACCATTTTGTCTTGACTGATCACAAATTGCATAAAAACCAAGCATTTCTGTCATTTCAAAACCTGATATCTGTCATATATGGTTATATGTCATTCACCTTTTGACATATAACCATACCTTGGGACCTTGATATTTTTCCAAATATTCTCTTACCAGATCAGATTCAGAATGGCTTACTGATGGCCATTTTTTTAAAAACAGCATGCTGTAAATGAAATCAGAATAAGATGGTAATCAAGCTAAAAATTTGTTTCTTTTCAGTGTTTGTGTTGTTTCCGATTGCTGTTTCCACGACTACCTTAGTGGCAAATTTTGATATGCAAGGCATTAGTGGTACTATACAATTTGAACAGACAGGCAGTGGAAATATAACCACCATCACTGTAATGTTAACAGGACTAGAAGAGAATGTATTTTATGATTGGAACATCATGGAATTCCCTGTATTTTATGATCTTAGTGATAAATGTGCTGTTACTGTTCTTGGAGATTCGGTTTATGACTTGGGGCTAGCAATTAGCTTGTTGACTTCGAGTCTGGTAGATGGTGACATGTATACTGTCACATCTGTAGAGTTGACAGGGGTACACAGTATACAGGGCAGGTCAATACTCTTAGACAATGGATCAGACCGTGTGTGTGCCACAATAAGTCTAAATCAAGATATCATTAATGCTGTAGCTATTTTACACATGCCTGTTGCCGGTGTCATCCTGTTTCAACAACTTGCCAGTGACAGTACAGCTGTTACAACGATAGATACAGATCTTTTTTATGTGGATGGGACAACAGGGGATGTATATGATTGGTCAGTTTATACTAATACTAATGGTGTGGACTATGAGACATCTAATTCAGGGAAATGTGATGATACCATCTCAGTTTACAATCCTATTGGTAGTGACAATACTAACTGTGGAACCAGCATGCAAGAAAACTGCCAAATTGGACATTTATCAGGAAAGCTTGCAGGGCTCACCATTGGAACTTATAAAGGTGTTGCCATTAATCACTTTGTTGACACAAATTTGCCACTTTCTGGTGAAAATTCTATAATTGGTCGTACATTAGTTATTTTAACCAGCAATGGTGAGAAGCTTGCATGTGGATATATTACTCAACTGAATAAGAGAAAAGTTACAAGTGAATTCAACTCTGATGGTGTGACTGGGACAATCAGCTTCAGTCAATCATCATCATTACACCCAACGTTAGTAGAAGTCAACCTAAATAATTTACAAAATCAAGCTCATACTTACCACGTTCATGAATTTCCTGTTCCACATAGAAAGACAACAGATGATAGTTTATGTAACAGTTACTCAGTTGGAGGCCACTGGAACCCATACAATGTTGTTGATAGTCCGGCGACTGGTACTAATGACCAGTACGAAATTGGAGACCTGAGTGGAAAATATGGAACAATATCAGGAACATCGTTTTCCGGCAGTTATATTGATTTCAATTTACCATTATTTGGCCAAAATAGTATTATTGGTCGATCCATTGTTATTCATAAATCAGATGGTTCACGGTGGGTGTGTGCTAATATTAACTATCCCACATCAACTCTGACAGCAATTGCCGTTTTCAATGCACCTATTGGTGGATATATCATGATGCGACAAGATGACAATGATCCTTTCTCTGATACGTCTGTTTTTGTGGATATTGCTTATGTTGATGGCACTGTACGTACAACCAATCATGATTGGCATGTTCACGTTGAAAAGCTTGCTGATGATTACTTGAGTGACGAATCAAGATGTGCTAGCGTCAGTGGGCATTATAATCCCTATCAAGTTAGCTTAGATGACTCATACAGTGCACATTGCAATAATGAAAATCAACAAAGATGCGAACTGGGAGATTTTGCAGGTAAACATGGACAACTGGTAATCGCTAGTGACCTCAGCATGATTGGTGGAAAGGCATTTTTTACAGATACACAAATGGCCCTGTCTGGAACCGCATCAGTGATCGGTAGATCTATTGTTATTCACGAGTCTGAATCTGGTACTGGGCGTCTGGCATGTGCTGATATCCATGAATTTAAACATGTAGTTACCAGATCTGATAATTGGAGTGATGACTCTATCTTTGGGTTCGTGGAGTTGACCCAGACTTCCTTATTTGATCCAGTTACAGTGGACATTGATCTATCCGGACTTCAGAGTTCAGCCGGAGGTTACCATATACATATTCTCCCGATTCTATCTGGTGCAGATCCTGTGTGTGGTGAATATTCTGTGCAAGGACACTTCAATCCATTTGGAATATTAGGCAGTGCAGATACTGGAACTCATGATATGTACGAGGTTGGAGACCTGAGTGGCAAGTTTGGAAGTTTAAATGGTCTTGATTTCTTGGCAGCCAATTACAGTGACTATAACTGTGCACTGACAGGAGCACAGAGTGTGGTTGGAAGATCTATTGTGATTCATAGAGATGACGAATCTGGATCACGATGGTCATGTTCTGATATTGTAAGCCAATTAGATTCCTTTCAATACAAACTGAACGCTGTTGCATCGTGGGATACATCCATCTTCTTGGGGTCCATTTCATTTGTAAGTACAATTTATTTGTTTTTGAGTCAGTATAATGATTTGTGTGGAATAATAATTCTAAATTTAAAAACAGAATACATCTTTGAGCAATATTTGAATGAACTTGACACTCATAAGAGGAAAATGTTGACAAAATTTAGAATTAGTAACCATGACTTGGCAATAAAGGAAGGCAGATATTCATTTCCTAAGAAACCTAATAAATAAAAGAATATGCAATAACTGTGACACAAATTCAATTAAAGAT